ACCCATTTTGTGCTGTCCTGTACAGCATGCTTACCCTTTTGCGTGCCATACACCAAGCATGCAACAGAAATCCTTCACTTTCCTGCCATCAAAACACTCTCCAGCAACTCTCAACGTGTCTCTTATAATAAACATTTCGGCTACTGAGACCTGAGAAAACACACACAATTATAATGATATCTTGGGACCGCAGGGGAACGATAGGTTCAGTGGAGACCAGGGTCCAATGCCATGCAGGTGTGCAGTCAGCCTCCTTTAGAGGAGTCTAACCCTAATTAGGACAGACACAAAACACTCCATGCTCCAAAGCCTTCTTATTTAGCAGTTGGAATAAATACAGCAGCCAAGCTGCATCAACATACCCCATAACAGGCAGGACCTGGGTGCCTACCCAAGTCCAGGGATTCACATCCAAGAAAAATGCCCAGATCACCAGGATTTGGTAGCTCAAAGGTGGATTGCTCATTATCCTTCTCAGGTGGGTCCCTCCATCTTTCCCCCTAGAATCGTCCTATGGCTGTATGAATAAGCAAATATTTATTAGATGGAAAAAAAGAAGCCCTCTGGCTCTGAAGCTTAAATCTCTGTACCAATGTGTACAAATGGGACCTGTTTAAAGATCAGAGTTACTGGGATAAAGTAGACCGTTTCCTTCTCTCTGATTTTGACCAGAATCCCACTTTTGATCTGAAAAGCCTTTTGTAAAAATTAACCACAATTGACATGTTTCTGTAAGGAGTTTTCATTTTATGAGAAAATTCCAGACTAGCTTTACGTGAGGACCACACACTCACATGGACCAAAGATGTTGATGCTGATGAATTGCTGCTTTCAGCTGTAGAATTTAATTATTCTCATTCTGTACAGCTGGTGTTATTGTGTGGTGATGCGTTTATCTTCTGACACCTTGGGGGGGAGGATGAAATGAATTTTCTACATTCACAGTGCCAAAGGGACAGTTTGAATAAGAAATGCTCCAATAAGACCTGCATGACTATGTCCTCTGGCATGAATGATGAGTCCAGGTTCTTTAGATTTTGTTTTCTAGCAGCACTTACAGACTGGAAGCATTTCTTTAAAAATGTTATAGGACAATTACGCTAAAGTTAAGCCTCTTTTGACAGATGAAAGAAATTAACTGGTTTATATTGGCTGATTTCTAGCCTGTAGTCCTGAAGCCTTTCCCTTCACTTTTACAGGCCGGTGGGGTCACTAATCCTACTCATTTTCAGTTTGTCAGTCAATAATCACTTACATGGCACTATGTCTTTGGAAATGACAGCTGAAACAAGATCTGATGCACAGTCTTCCCTCCACAATGCCTTCCTAAATACAAATCTGAGGCGGCTGAAAGAACTGAATACTCTATATCTGATAATGACACATCCACCCAGCTTGTCAGAAAGAAGGTTTGGGGGAAGTTTACAGCACTGCTATGTGGGAAATGTCTCTGCTTCGATGGCTTAATGAAGTCGTAAGAAGCAGAACAGTCCCTGCCATTGGACATTAATGAGAGTCAACATTTTTTTTCTCTAAGGCATTTTAATTGTATCACAAGCAAAGGCCATCTGGCTTAAGAATGAATATTCAGTATCTGTAACAGAAGCAGAAATACTTGAGAGGGAAATGGTACCTTCCTGGCTTCCAGCTTGGACAGTACCCATCGCTAAAACTGGTGTGTTGCACAGTTGGCTAAATTGCAATTTGATGCCCAACCAATGTCTTTTTAGGCTATTATTAGCTTATTAATTAGTTATTGTTTACTAGTTTGGACTTCATGTCTTCAAAAGGAAGATCATTTTATGTTAAAAACTCCTAAGGGATAATATATTTCACCACACTGCAGAGAACTGCGACAGCTCGTCAGCTTTTATTTACTGAGAAGTCATAGGGGTAGAAATCAATTTATTTTTCTGAGGAATAAACATAACTTCCTCTTGCGTGTGACAGGTGCAATCCCTGTTTATTAAAAATGTAGAGAAAACATTTGCAAAATGGAAATTTAAAGAACAAGTATCACAGCAGACAATAATTTTCCTGAGAAAGAATCGAGCTGAGAAAGAATGAAACCATCGCTTCTAAAGGGCAGGCATTCGTTTCACAATTTTTATGACTGTCACTGGCTCCTTTAGCTTGGCCTATCTTATTTCTACAGGGGTGCCTTTCACTGTAGCTTGTTGGGGAAAAAAAAACCCAAACTAATTTGGCAGAGATTTTTACTGAGCTACGTATGAAGACCAGAAGACGATGTTTCACAGTTCTGAGAAACTCAAGCTGTTAATACTTTGAGTAAATTACACGTACGTATCATGGCCTATTTACGAGACTGTAGGTTTATTTGCTTAAGTACCTAAATATCTTGCGGATGTTGAGCCGACAGCTTTGTCTGCCACACTCAGCCGCCTCAAATACGAGCAGCCCAGTGAGAGTGGGGTTTGCCAGGCTGCGATCCCTAGGAAGTATTTGACTTGAATGCGGCTGGGACCAGTGCTGGCGGAAATGCATTTAAAGGTAGTGGAGGCTCTGCCACAATATTTTGGAATTAAATCAAACAACATGTTGACTCTTTCCTGAGGGAATGTGATGTGATAAATCCGTGATGCATTTCCTCACCGGAGCTATCTGGGCTGTGTTGGCTCTCATGAGAGCCAGGTTGCAGTGGGTGAAGCAATTTCCTGAAGGCGTTTAGAAACTGCTCCAGAATACTTCAGGGTGATAAAAGTTAGTTGAGTCAATATGATTAGAGAGCTAACACCTCATTTTCACTGCATTACTGCCATAATCCTAGAAGGAAGATTCATATATGTGCACTTGGGAATGAAATTCCAGGGGAGAAGAAATCCATAATACCACCTATCAGTTAATATTATCAGACAACCGAATTTTCTTGTACTTGCTTTCTTACGTTTCTCAGGTGGAATTTACCCTAGTGCACGAGACCAACACGAGACCCACGCAGGCTTGAATGATGGATACTACGGCACTCGGTACAGTGCTACTGAAATTGCCAGGCAGGTTTTCAAGGTGAGCTTGCCATGGAGCTAAACATCACCTTGTGATGCAGTTCTGCCAGAGCTGAACAGGGCGTACCTATGTGATGAAGTGCTCCTGAATGTGAGAAAGGAAGGCAAAGTCAATCCCGAATACATAAACATATCTTAAGCAATGAGCAATAAGCAAAGAGTAGAAGTCGGAGCTGTAACTCAGAAGCCTAAGGGAGGATGGGAAGAGTGATAGTAAGTTTCCCTCTCATTTGGCTTATAGGAAAACCACATTGAGTGTTCTATAAAAATGTGAAAACCTCAACCTCGGTAACTGAAGCATTCAGTTATCCAAACCTGAAGTTATTCTGACTCAAAAAGCAACTGATGCATTTGCTTTTCAGGCAGTATACACATTGCACATCCATGCTAGTCAGTATGTCTCTCCATCAGCTGTTGCAAGGCAGAATTCCTTTAGAGCGGTATCTCATCCAAAGAATAGGCAGTGATCAGGAACTATCGTTGGCATTACTATTAGAGCTGCAAGCATGAAACTCCCTCCCGTGATAAATCCAAACTCATTTTATGTGTGTTCAGTGACATCCCATTCAGCGTCTAAACATGGTCAGTATAACACAAAAATGTCTCCCTGGGCACACCAATAAAACTGAATGGGATTGAGTGCTATAAACAAGAGACTCAATTCTCACTCTCAGACGCAGAAATTTTGTCAGAATTTTGTGGCTCCAGAGGAAATGCTGAGCACAACCTAAACATCTACATGAAACTGTTATGTTAGCAAGGTGAAGTAAGTCCAATGAAAAAACACCACCACCCAAGACTGATATTTAAATGGCACTCACAAGAGGCAAAACAAGTTTAATATATACGGTCTGGCAAAGCTGCATTCTGCTTCTTTAAGAATGCATTACATATTATGAGCATTCCTATTACAATTTTATTGCAATATTCAAGGTGTACTCAGAAGATACTATTAATTTTTTTAAATATGGGTTTATTTGTTTGCATCTTATTTTACAGCCACTCTTCCAGCCTCCAGTTTCATTTCTAAAATTAAAGCTAGTGATATTTCCATATCAAAGTTGAAAATTAATTTGCTTTGTGGGACATGCCCCTTGATCTAAAATACTTCATTTTAATTAGGACATTTAATTTTGTCTAATGGAATCAGGTTCCATTCACTTAATCCAAAACTACTTTCTGAAAGAGTTATAAGCAGTACATTTTCTCAGCACAAGTCCTCCTCCTAAGGCTTGTCCGCATGAGGAGATTGCACCTACGCAGCTAAACTGATTTCAGATTGATCTACTTACACCACTACAAAATGTTACTGAGGTTAACCGTAACTGGGTCTGTCCCACTTCTGAATCAGTTTTACCAAACAGCTTTACGTTTCCTAATGCAGACCAGGAACAGATAATAGAAAATCAGGTACCATTACAAGTATGTGTTAGGATGAGAAAGCTAAATGAAAATTGTCCCATCTCCCAGAGCACGAGTGTTTGGACCCACGCAACCTGGAGTATGGCCACTTCCCACCACCATTTTTGTACAGCTTCCTTCTTCCCTTTGCCCTCTTCTCTATAACGTGTTGCGTACATGTAGATCATGCCAGATCATGTCTGCTTCCCATTGAGAGGACGTACAAGACATTTCCGAGGAACACTTTGCATATTCTGGCTCCACCTGAGGATGATGTTCTGCCCCCATTGATGCACAAAGGCACACGGAGAGATCAGGGCAGAGATAATCAGTGCATGGGCACAGACAGTGAAAGGCATTCCCTTCTCTTACTGTGAGAGCTCACTCCCTCCATTTAAAATAAGTGTTTGTTCTGGGAAAGGCCTGTCTTTATCAATTTTGTACATCTCATCAGCACAGAGAAATGCAATAAATACCATACATTACGATAAACTCCGAAACACCTTCAGCTCCATGCTGACTACAGCTCTCACAATGTAGGGGCACGGCAACAAAATGATTTAAAAAACTGCATACCTTGAAAAATATCCAAGCTGTCATCCATTTGGCCACTTTTACAACCCAAAAGACATGCTTGTAGAGCTCAGTATTCACTACTCCAGGGTCTACTACATTAGCAGTCACATGGCTTCCATTTGCAGTCAGAAGATGCTGCAGTCGATAGGTAAATAACACAAGGGCAAGTTTGCTTTGGGCATAGGCTCCATGGGGTGAATACGAACATCTGTATACAGGAGAGAAAGAGAGAGAGAGATGCATACAGAAATAATCAGAAGGAAAACAGAATTGCACAAACATCAACTGTACTGCATTTTGCAATATCCAGCAAACAAACAGCTATGCATTGAGTCGTCAGAAGAAACAGCTTATCACTGGCAGGTATGTTGTTTGCTGGAGTTGTGGTGATTATTCTGTCAGACACCAAGTCTGATTTATGGCGGGGAAAAAAATTAGAACAAAATTACATGGTACCTGCCAGAATCTCTATGTCAAACTATTTAAACTAGAAATGCTGAGGCACCAATCTCCAGGATATCACCTAGAGGCTCTCAAACTACTCTCCCCTTCCTCACTGCCCTCTCACCACACATACATACCCTGTTCCCACCCAGTACATCTGCGCCTGATCATACTACTCCTGGTTATTATTTGTATTGCAGCAGGACCTACTAGTTTCTGATGAAGTTGTGTTGGGCACAGTACAGATGAATAAGGCAATCATTGCACCTGCCCCAGTGACACACCAGATTACGCACAGCTGAAGAGATGGATAAAAAGATGGGGCAAGGAGAGTGGCTGCAAGTGTAACCACAGTTATGCCATAAACAGCCTTTAGAGCAAAGATGGCCGGCTGGGTCTGTGCCAAACAGGAGGTGCAACGAAGGCACACAAATACTGGGAGTTACAGCAAAACATTACGTGTTGACACTCCTGTGCACCTCTCTCATCTGGATGCTGAATCTGCCTTTCTTTCAAGTCAAACTTTCTAGGAAATGCTGATTAGTTGGGTTTCACTGCATGCAGGCAGCAGTATTTTTTTTTTAAATAAACAGCCTAGTTCCAGGCAAATTAGCAGGTATGTCGCTTAAAATGCTCCTCCCGACTCAGCATCACTTCCACAAATTCCTATGCCATGACAGTTCGCTCTTGCAATTACTATAGCCTCTCATCTAACCTTTTTTGTGCTTAGCAGAACCAAAGGTAATTCCTGGCGTTACAGACAGCTCATAGGCAAAGCAGGCGGGAGCCTAAAGCAATGGGCTCCTGGGGGCAGCAACACAGCTTTGGTCCCCATCCCCTTTGCCTCTGCCAGAGCCTGAGGAAGCGGCACTGCTTGCTGCCGCCGCCGATGTGGAGCCAGGGGTTAGGGTCCACGGGGCAACAGCTACTGCTGGTGGAGCGAGATAGAGGGGCGCCCACCCAGGAGCAGATCTCTCTTTCCCAGCTCTCTCCTTCCCCCTAGTTGTTGTCCTGCCTCTGTGACAGCCGCAGCTACAGCTCCATCCTCTACACCTTCACCCTTAGTGCAGCAAATGCCCGGGCTGAGGATGCTCCTACTCTGCTGAAAAGCCTGCCTTCGGTTTTCTGTGGTTGCTACTATGTGCAAGGTTTTTATTTCGAATGAATAGCAAATATGTCTCAGAGTTGTTCTTGTTATCTCATTCTCATTGAATACTTTATTTATAATATCCTGTACACTTCACCATAGAAAGCCCTGAATGCTAGCAAACAGGCTGACTCTCCACAGAGGTATAAGGCTACTGAAGCAATTTAACTGTTCGTGTTATCCAGAAACTTAGAGACACAATGGTAAATCATACAGCTTAGCTACAGGAAGTAAAAGACAACAGCATTGACTCTCCAGTGCATCTCTTTTCTTTTTTTCTTCTTTTTTTTCCCTACTCTATTCTTGTTCAAGCAAATCACAAACAAACAGGCTACAAAAGCATTATACAAATTGAGAGATAATAAAAAAGGATAGCTGATCATAAACAGCCCTTGCACCAACCAATGGCCTGAGCTGTAACATGCTGGATAACGTAGCTCCATCATCACAAAATACCACCTGCGCCTCAGGGTAAAATGGGCTATTTTAAGAATAAAGAACAATCACTGCATGAATATAAAAGTGACTTGGCATTAGTCAGGAAATTGCAGTTACGTTTTAAATTCAGTAACGTCCGTGCTCTGATCTGAGACACTCAAAATGTCACCTTATGCTTCATACATATTTCAATCCTTTTAACTTGAAGGACCAGATCCTCAGCCGCTACGAGCTTCACTTGCGCAGCCGTGCGGGGCAGAGCTTACACCACCCATGGGAAGAAGCACTCATCCGAAGCCGCCTCCGGCAGCCAGCTGGCAGCCAACCCTGGCACTTCTCCATCAGTGCCACCATTCCCCCACCAGTGGAGAACGCAAGCTGGGGCACGGGACAAGCTTTCCGAATTGAATTAGAGTGATTTTGTCTGGCAAGCGGCTCGCAGGGAAGCAGGGCTGGGGACTACTCTGACTGTTTCTGCCTGGGTCTAGTCTGGCCTTCAGTAACCTTCAGATGCCAGGCAGGAGGATGGTGAATGCTCCCCATGACTTCCCATTCCCACATTTTGCACGAGTGCTGTTTTGACTTACCTTGTGGCAATGAAGCATGAACTACAAGGGCCGGATCCTCAAAAGCCTTGTACTTTGCATAGTTATCTATGTCAGAGAAACACGAGTACTGAGAAGATATAAAAAGCTATCCAATTAGCAAGGAAGCCTTTTATATCACAGTGCAGAGATGCAAATGATTTGCAAGGCAGCAGGGAATCAGACTTCAGTAACATACTATAGATATGAAGGATATAAAATTGGATACACAGAGCAGACACTTTTGGCAGAACCCCTGCAATGATTACCTGCTCTCTTCCCATTTTTTCTGTGTGTGCTTTGTGCTTTCCAGGAATCTGACATCAACGGACTACATAAGATAGACGAATAACCTGTGACACAGAACTGACAAGGATTTTCATTGAACAATTGTTTTGTTTGTGAGACCCTGTCTTATTAGGTTCATGTTGTTTAAATGCTACGTTGGAAAAAAAAATCAACACTGGTTACTTGATTTCATTACATCCAGTCTTGACTTTATGCATCAGAAAAATAGGAGCACGTAGGCTCCTGTACCTGTACCACGATTGCATCTCCCATGCACATGTAGAATCACAGAATGGTTTGGGTTGCAAGGGACCTTAAAGATCATCTAGTCCAAACCCCCTGCCATGGCCAGGGACATCTTTCACTAGATTAGGTTGCTCAAAGCCCCGTCCAGTCTGGCCTGGAACACTTTCAGTGATGGGGTATCCACAACTTCTCTGAGCAACCCGTTCCAGTGTCTCACCGCCCTCGTCGTAAAATATTTCTTCCTTATGTCCAATCTAAGTCTACCCTCTTCCAGTTTAAAACCATAAAATTTATTCCTCTTAAACATGGAATTATCTGGCTTTAAAGTCTATGCATCTAAATCTAGCCTCTCTTGGCACTCTGTGCTCTGTATGTACATTTTCTACACCGAATGAAACTATAATTGTATACTGAATAAAATAATAATATTGACATTACATATTTCCACATTGCTTTCATTTTCTGAAGGCTCTAAAAGCCTTCTAAAATGAAAGCGCATACAAAAGGCCAACTGAAGCACAGCCCAAAGCAGAACACAGCTTACCAGCAAACTGTGCTGGCACACCAGTGCACGGAGGTGCCTGTGATGTTTGGACCCCTGAGGACACAGGATATCAATGCTTCACAGCAAGGCAGGCAGACTCTCAAGCAGAGAAACTCTACCTCCTAACTAGGTGGCCAGCCACGCAAAACACTGGTAGCTCCCAGCTACCAGTATATATGCGTGCTGGCCAGTTGGCTAGGCTGCTAGGAGGTACTGGTGTTTGACTGCCCAGGGATCCATCCGAATAAATACTGCCCACCAGGCTCGAGCTACGCCAGACAGCACGTGCTGTGGTATGGCAAGCCTGCACGCGGTCAGCAGCCAGGAAAAGTGGAGCAAGAACTTGGGGGGAAGAAGTCCAGTGGGAAGGACCACTCTTTCTACCATGGAAAACAGTCTCCCCTGAGGGATGCCCCCCTAGAGCATTTTGCCAAGTCGGTTCTATAAAATAGGGCAAAGCACAACTCACTAAATTGAAACTACAGGAGGAGCTAAGGCAGACAGGATTTAATTAGCTGCTTTGAAATCTAGCCAAGAGCAGCAATACACAAGACCTTCTTCTTCCTTTTAAAATAATGCTTTATTGATTTTATACTGATGAATAAAGGATCAGGATAAGGCAGGCGATGCATTTTCTGTTCAATGAATTTTTAGCAGAAATTCTTATTTTTGGCTTAAGATTTTTTGAAACATAGACTGACAAGTTTGAATTGTCATTACAAAAATTAGGGGAAGAGAAAGGGATTGTTTTGTATTTTTGCCAAAACAAAATAAGTAAGCATTCAATTCTGTAGTGAGTGAGTGCCTTGTGGTTTGCTGATTTTTTTTTTTAATTATTATTACTTTTTTCTTTTTCACCAGAAGCTGATTTTACCACTCATCTCCATGGTGCTGTCTCCAGCAGCAGTCTCCCTAGCATGCTGGGGCAATGTATTTGTAAAAAGTAATGAGAAGCCAAATTTCAAACCAGAGCCTGCAGTGGCTAATTAGGTGTTTAAATATGGACTCAGCTGCTATCCAAGTTTGAAAACGGGATCCGTGTTTAGCACTTCCCCTGGCAGCCAGTATTACTCTGGTTTCTTTTCTGTCTGGCTTTAGTCGGTCTGTGTTCAGCAGAGGTCTCCCATTTATGTCCAGTGATACCATGTTTAGCAAAGAGCATTAAGTCAGCTCAGGGTACCCACTGAGTAACAGGGGAAACAAAATTGCTGCTCGGCATAGACCACTTCCTCCACACCTCCTGTGCACAGGCCCTCGTGCTGCTCTCGGCTTTTTCTCTTTCATTAACGGTTGCTTTTGCATTCTGCACACACGTGGAGGAAGCGGATACACCCCGACTGAAAGGAGGGTGCCGTGACAGCACCCTTTCCCTTCCCCACCACACCTTGCTTCAACAAAAGGCTCAGAGGACCTGTGACCGTACCGGCCGACACACAGCTACGTTTAACCTGGCCGGTGCTAGCAGTGAAGTTTTCCTGATGCGGACCTCTTTCACACCGCGCTTGTCTTGCGCATGT